AGTAAAGCACACAAACAGGCTAGGTACCTGTAACAACTTTTGTATGTAAATAATACGGGAAGTTTTAAAGTATCCAAAACAATGAAAGAAAATGACAATTCAAAGAGAACTTGGATTTATAATCTATGTTCCATGTTGTCTGTTATGAGCATCTAACTCTTGTGCACAATGTATTAAGTTTATAAACTAAGTCACCTTCCCTTCCTTTCGCTTTCCCTTGGCTTTGATGCCAATCATCCTAACTTGGAAGCTTTTGAGGAAGTTAGAATTCTAGAGGAAGTTATTAATACTGTAAAGAATTAAGAGCATAATCCGCTCTGTTCTGTAACTGGACTACCGTAAAATTAATATCCGAAGGCTGCACTGGAAGTAACGTTACAACAAATGCTGCTACTACAATTTTTGCTCTTTGTAGCAGAGATAGAAGGACTTATGTCACTTTTTCAACTTCCTTCCTAGTCACGTAAAGTTTCATTTAATATTCACGTAAATGAAATGACATACGAAGATCAAGATGAATAATGAGCCCTTGTATAACTTATTTTTAACCGTTATTTAAAAAAAGCCTGCAACATTAAAACTAAATACCTGCATTAAAATTCTGAAACAAATCTCATGCAATGAAGAGTGGTAGAAAACTACCCACAGCACAAATATTTGTCCACGTTTTGCTTGTTTATTAGTTTTTATTCTCTTGTTATGTATTCGTATATGCTGACCGTATTCAAAATATTCGATTTTGCTTAGAAAGATTCATTATTTTAAAAAAATAATTCTGAGGGAAGTTACCCCAGAAGAATCTTTCAAGGGAGCAGAGAAAATTGTGGACTGTGATAATTTTTGTCATAAGACAATATTAACAAATCTGAATATTTATTTACAGCTTTAACCCGATTACATTCGACGATTTAATATACCAGTGACACTTAAAATTATTCTTCTACACGTTTTTCGTCAAAAGTACACAATAATTTCTGCGGACCAGAACCCTCAATACCTTTTTTTCGAACTGCATAGATTTTTAGTTCTTCAAATGTGGTCTTGTCAATTTTATATGCCAGAGTCTTGAGACAATGGTAAATTTAACAGATGGGTTAACATCCTGTGTTTAAGAGAATATTCCCCACTCTAGTATTTTTCTCTACTGAGGGAAAAGAGACACACTTGTGCCATTTGTCTCTTTGTTTCTGTGAACTACCATGCCACACTACGAGTACTGAGGCTAGTGTCATAGAGTAGTATTTCAGCTTCTCAAGGATCGAGTAAGAAGATGGTTTTCTTTTGGTCTGCAATGTGTAATCTGGCATCGGCTTGATGATGGAGGCAGCAAATATCTTCGAAACGTTGGCGACTTCTTATAGATTACATGTCGTTACAGTTCAGAAGATGGACATCTTGTTAGTGTCACGTTGCTTCTTATATCACGTGGCCAGTCTTTATATTATCTTCTGACAGTCTCCCATGCGTAACTTGTGGTACGTAAATTTCAGTTATTCTCCGTAAACCGGATAGCTTGTCAGCGTTTCATACAGTTTAACGCTGTTCTTCATTTCTGAGAAGTTTCTTCAGTGAAGTCTTCGTTCAAGCTATTTCTCCTTCTTCTCGCTTGTCATTTGCTTAAGGCGATGTGTTCAGTCTACAGGAGTGGCTGCTAAGCCACATTGTAAAATGTGTTGTTACTAGCTTCGCCCTAGGTCTAAGTAACCCAGTTCGTTGTTTTAATTTGATTAAAAACTCTGTATAAATATTTTAATGATTTAATTGTTACAATGAAACAACAAGGCATGCAATTTCTAAATGCAATAGAAGAAAGTTATTAAAAAGTTTTAATAGAATGCTTAGGAAATACAATTTTTTGTACATAAATAAAGTAAACACGCGTATTTTTAGGCTTTGCATATTAAAAACAGTAACAGACCACTGTGAATATTTTCTAAGGAATTCTTGTTAGCGACAAAGAATATGCAATTAATATACTTCACTATTTTTAGTATAATCACATATTTACCTATTATATATACTTACATTACAAACGAACAGCGTATTTTCACGTAAAAAAATGAAAATCACCCAATTAACTCAATTGAATTAGGGAGTTATAACCGCAACGTCGCGTATGTAGTAAATAACAATCACATATGTTAAAATACGGCAGGTTTTAATTGCAACCCATTTGCCGAAGCATTATCTGAAATTATTAAATGTTTATTCCCCACTGACTGGCACTATCAATTTCTCTAAGTCTACATAGAAAAAGTGCACTTATAATTCAGCAAATTCCAAAAATTTAGAAGAGACGTCTCGATAAGTAGTACAAAAATTATTATCCATGACAAAAGGGACATTTCTCAACGTAATAGGACTATAAAATATTTAAGACTGAATTATATTTTTAAATGACCTAACATTTATATTCATAAACACAAAGTTCTACTTTAATTTATATCGAAGCGTTTCGATTTTAGCACAAATAAACGCGATACGAAACTTTTTTGACAGAATTCACACTTGGGTAATTTCAAAATGTGTAAATCCATCAAACGAATCGATATCGACACAACGTATCCGATACCGACAAAGAAATTCATGTCGACTGGCATCTCTACGTTGTTTATAGCACCTCGTAGATTCACTGCAGCTTAAACCAAAGCAGATACAGCATACAAAACAAAATATCGATAAAGGCGACATGATTCACTTAACAACAGTACGAAGGGCTATCGAAATTTACATTATCTGAGCCTACTTGTAGCAACGCACTGCGCCGGAAGATGTCACGCATGGCGAGTTTCCAGTCAGTTCTCGCCTAATCTTCACCTAACTCTGTTGATAAGGAAGACACTTCGTTGTCATGGAAACAAGAACATAAGGAAGCAAGAGGTACATTTAGGTTTAGATAAGACTGTTGTGGTTTACAAAACACGATCCGCGCACCCCAGGGAGTTCACGATACTCTTGTAGTCTATGGACAACGTGTTTCTGTGTTGATTCTCAACAGCATCTGTGGTCAACGTCCATTATCTGCTCTTGTTAAGTATAAGTACAAGACACACAGGATTAACATGCCTGACCCTGTTTAATTTCAAGTGGAAATTGAATTACTGCGTGGCTCAAAGTTATAACTAGGAATGCGCATTTCTTCTTGTGTACGTACTTCAAATGGTATATCTCTAAACGGACTGACATCCTAGACGGTTACAAAAAGTCTCCTACTTGAATTGACTGTACTTAAAAAGCAACCTGGTAACACATTTCAAAAGTCTACTTGGCGTTACAAGTCGATCGGCTAGTCAACGTACATAAACGTAATTTATTTCTAAGTGAGTCTCGGCAAATGCTTAACGCAGTTACTTATATATCCCCTCGCTTCATAAGTTTTGTAGGATTTTCTCGAAAGGCAGTGTTTTAAAAACTTGTTCTGGTTCAGTTCCTATAAATGGTGGACCTATACGATGAATCGGTTTGAAATACCTATGGTCAATTACTCTATTGTAAAAAACTATAAATAAGCATCAAAATTTATAACTAATTACGCATGAAAATTTCAATAAATTAAATAATGTTTATAATTTGTCCCCGACTACATTATCAAGCAATAACTATTTTTACTACACTGTAGGTTCAAATACTAAGGAAATTTTAAAAAAGTAAAAGAAAGTAAGTTTTTTAATATTATATTAGTAGCAGTAAGCAACATAATAAGTGCTTAACCTACTTGGTTATCAGTGATATGTAAGCCATCGCTTTTGATTAGACTGTGTGAAAATTCGTTATATTTACGGACGAATGTCGGTGTAACATGACAATGTTTCAGTCAGCGGAATTTTCGTGAGTGGGTGAAATAATCAGAGGAAATCGGACGAGTGTCATGTTTTGCGTTCTGGGTGGCCAACGGATTAACCTGTTTAACGTGTAATTACAGATGGAGTGGATCGGTCGCCTTATCTGGTACAGCCGAAGAATCAGCGCTGATTATACTGGATGTAAAGCGAGCAAGCCATTGAAGTAATACAAGTAAGGTTTATTGCCCAACAGAAAACATATTATATTAGAACCGGAACGTTTTTCGCTGATGGACTAATGCATTAAGAAAGGCGATTACGTAATTACATCTTGACCTAGTTTTACTCAGCTGGCACTCATCACACCATGTTCTAAAGACCCACTTCAACATTAACCCCTCATCCACGCCTAGGTCTTTCCCATAATATCTTCCCTTCAGGCTGTACCTAAATACGTTACTTATAGCATGAACAGATATCAAAAAAAATTCTATTACAGATAAAAGAAATTGGTAATTTTGTGCAAATGTGAAATCGAACGTCTTAAGCATTATCTGACACAGAAAATGCATGTCACGATAATATGGTTAATGGCTTTACTTATGTGGAATACTGGCACATATTCTCAATTGTAAAACGAGGGTCGTCATTTGTTCAATGTAATCTGCCGCTAGGTTGCAGCACTGGCGCTGCGGAGATATCTTCATGGTGACAAGACAGCGGGTCACAGCCTCTTGGAATTTCGCCAGATACTAGGACTAGCACGACACATTTCTCTGACCTTTAACCGTTTAAAAATTCGAAGTGAAGCAGTTCAATCCATTGTATACCAAAAAATAACACTGTTCATGGGCAAAAATAAACTATACAAATATACAAACTATGTTACAGATTCGCTTTTCTAGAGCTGCTGTGATTTTTGGTACATATTAAACAATGCTGATCTGTACCACAAAAACACATTCCTCAATTTTGCTCATAACTGAAATGATATTATTTTAAAATATACCAAGAAAATATCCCTCCTGATACTTTTCAAACAGCCTATGTGATTCTTAAAAGATTGTAGTGTAGTACAGACTTGCTCTTAATATCATAGAATCTACTTACTCAGTTGTGCAAAACAAGATAAATTCATCAATTAATAATAACCATATTACCTAATTCCACGGAGCAAAGTCTTCCTTGAGTAACTTATAGCCGTTCAGCTGGTCAAGAATTTTCCCTCTTTGTATGTAGTCCGAAAATTCATTATCGTGTTAAAAATACCCCATTACTGGAACGAAAACTAAACCTGTCGAAAATAATTCACCCCATCAAAATCTGTGTTCTAAAATCCATTTTAATATCATCGTCCTACCTACTTCTAGATATACCAACTGGTTTCTTTTTTTTAATATTACACAATTATAATTTTGTAAATGACTTTCTTGATGTAGAAACGTCATTACTAACTTTACATAATCTCATCCAAAATGTTTTGTTTCAAGCAACTGCTGTTCTTATTCCGCACTAAAATTCAAAAATTCTTTAATTTTTATGAATAAAATTGATTTATGCACACTTTAGTTCCTCACAGAACACGCCCTTATTCACAAATTTATCGTCACTTAAAACATTTGCACTGAGAATAATAAATACGACAAACAAACCACATCGTAGTATTATACGGTGTCTTGGCACACACAAATTCGACAATTTTAAATGTAATCTCACTCCACTCTCTGCGAAAAATACAGTAAGTGACGATGAGTTGTTCCCTTTACCATACAAAAATTTACACCTACAATCTTCTGTTTATTCAATAGCACCCTTGACCCCCAAGTGATCTCCTGTAGTACCATTTAATATTTTACTTCTGTAATTCTCTTTCCGCTTCTAGTGAACCTGCGCTATAAAAAATTCTGACGTTTCAGGTTACAGTCTCATGTCCTTTGTCAGTTATAAATATTCATACCAGAGGGAAGAAATTACGCTCTGCAGAAACGGAATAACCATAGCCATCACAAAGGCTGTGCGGTACGATTTGTGTTAATTGTTTCTACTTTGTAAGTCATTCACTGTGACAAATGCTGGGTCCAAAACGAACCAGAATTGTTATAAAAGAATAAATTTGACACGTTCAATCTTCGTTTAAAATAACTACCCATTAACTACTCATAGTAGGAGATAAACCAATTGTACATTTTGGAAATCCTGCCGCGATTAAATCTGGTTTCAACATAGCGAGTTTAGAAATTATGAAACTGTTTATAGTCTATGTACAAAATACTTCAGATACTTTTACTAGCCCTGAACATACCTTTATCTTACAGCATCAGTGTTCAAACTCATTAATGTCTCATTAAGTAAAAAGTGATAGTGGAACCACGGTTCCGGAGAATTTGACGTAAATACGTCTATCGGAAAGGAATTTTATATATTGGCTTTATTCTAAATATTTCCTTTATACATGCTTCACAATTGAGTAAAGTTTGATTAAGACTTTGCTTATTTAACTTGAATTAGTTACGCTTAAAATGGGTCTGTGGTAGCTGAATGTAATGTAAGGTAAGGTAAGGTAATGTAATGACATGTTTTCTAGGTAACAACAATGCCGAGTAAACAGACGACGTTTCCTAGGTAACAACAATGCTGAGTAAACAGATGATGTTTCCAAGGTAACATAACAATGAAGTTACACTTTTTCGTTCCACTTTTTGCCGAATGACACTGATCCTAAAATATAGACGTATTTACGTCAAAAAATAAAAAGTGAATCCCTCTGATGTTTTGTAAGAATCAAATAATACATTTTCTTAAATTACCAAAGTGTGCTTAAAATAGAGACAATGACTTTATTATGTAAATTATAAATATTTATTTATACATTAAAACGTACTGTAAACATGCAAATAAGTTTTTAGTGATATAAACGTAGTTAAATGTATAACAAGTAAACAATATTTCCTAATAACATTACACAAGTGTCAAAAATATATAAATGTTCTAAATCGATATTTTGGTGTAAGCTGAAGTTTATCTTTGAAAACCAATTGTTCAAAGCAATGATTAAAATAACGTAATATCCTGAGGGTGACACTGAAAAAATATTGGATTAAAAATCCTGACCGAGGAGTTGAAAGTAAAATGGATTATGTTTTTATCATATGACATTTTAATTAATTCGTTTACACTCGGGCCTTCTCTGTCTCTCTTTATGTATATATAAAATCAATTACCATGGGGTTTAAAACCGCTACGCGGAGAGAATGTCTTCCATTTGTTTAAAAATTTACAAACCTGCATACGACAATATTATTTTCGAAGTTCTGTGATAATTTAGCACAAAGTATTGTGTTAAGGTCATTCTTCAGAGAAATTATAAGAAACCTGCAACCTAACCTAACCTAACCTTAGATTGCACGCGTAATTTCAGAATTTCGCCTAACAGTTTATTCACAAAGAGAAACTAAAATATTGACATTTATATAAACCTACATATTTATTAGTTGATATCAATGAAACAATGGCCACCTTCTCATTGAAGACATTCCAACAATATCATCAATCATGCTACGTAAATCTTATATAGTCAATGAATATTACAAGTCCAGAAAATTGCATTAGTCACCATATACTCAACGAATCATTTTTACATATGAATATAAATTATTATTTAAATATTCTACGTATTATGCAATTACTTGTCCATAGTGAATCAAATGTATTGTAACAGTAACATCCAATATGATGAGAGAGACAAATTCATTGTAGCAAAGGTATTAAGATAACACATAAATAAATGTTTCAAATTAATATAAAATCGTAATGAGTTTCACGTTCATTTTATGCTAAATCCACAATATTTTTTCCCCTAAGACAACCGATAAATTTTTCGATTTGAACTTCATATAAGGTATGTCTCATACTTATCTTTTAACAACAAACAAGCAAATAAACCAAAATTAAACCAAATATTATAATAGACTACATATTCAGTTACAATTTTAGGCTCGAATTCACCCACTTTCTCCTCCTAAAACCATTTTCAATAATCGATACAATCCTGTAACTCACTGGTGTCTCTCACGGTACATGAATCTACTCCGATGAACCTACAGTGGCCCTCATGGGAGCCAACGCATTAAGGAAATAAAATGTTTAAACCCCTCTTGCAACTAACCGAGTAGAACGGTAGGACAGCTCGGCAGTTATTTATTTAGTGTTCTGTCTGACGACAGGTCCATATGAACAGGATCCTTCCATCTTTTTCTCGGACTGGGACCTGTTCATATACGTTCTTGGCAGATGATCCAGAAGTGGTTTGCCATTGCCTTCTTCTGTGTGTGAGTGGAGTAATTGTTGGGATGCCACGGAGAAACCGGAGAAGCCCCCGGAGGAAAACTCCGTGTTGCCCAACACAAGTTATAAATTCGGGCACCGCCGGGAATCGAACCCGAGACCCCAGGATTACAAGGCCAGCGTTCTAACCGCTAGACCACCGTACAGTACAAGACCATTTTGCCAGCACCTACCATCTGCATTTTACTGTCCTCTCCCTTTGCAGTGTTGCAAAACAAATATCTGAACGGATCCAAAATTGTCAGATGTCTAAACCAGGTCTGAAATCGACCTACCCACACATATATCTGACGATTGCAGATCGGCCGGTTATAATTGTTGTACACAATACGCCTGCCATATGAGACCAGCTACATGTTTGTACGGAATATGGCTACGAAGCGCATGTAACACAAAAAGGGATGAACGATGAATGTGATTCATTATGGCGTCGTTATTATAGCGGTAATCAGGTTGAGAGCGCCTTGTTGTGGACGGAGTTGCAATTACAGACAGGGCGGCGAAAATTTCACGCGAGAACACAGCTTCAAAGTGAAACGAGGTCATTTGGCGTAAGTTTATTTGTTCAATATGGAAGACGCTAATTTAGTAGACTTTGTAGTTATGTCACTGTGAGTGAAGTCTTCGGGCGTGTAATGACGTACCGGCGGATCGGGACAATACACAAATTCACACACACACACACTCTCTGTTTTAGCTAACGCGGTGGGTTGAAATTTAGTGCAGTAGAAAGTTATTCGGAATTTTTAATATAACTGCCAGCTTTTCACTTATAAATATAACTTCTACCCTAAGAATTACAGGTCTGTTAATCCGGTCGTCCACTCCCTACCTTAAAACATGATCACAGCAATAAACATAAACATATAAATGAGAAGGATTTTATATTTTCACTTGTTTCCAATGTCGTTTAGTCTGGTAGAAGTTTACTAAAGTTTCAGGGCTCATAGCCCTGATGATGTAGGCAGCAGTCACTTCTGAAACGTCAGAAAACTTATACCAGATTTTATATGAACATCACGCTATTGTAGGACCAAACAGTTTAGTAAATTTTCAGTTTCAGTATTCGAACTGGGAGTCAATACAGATAAAAAGTCGCTCCAATCTATAAAAAATTACACGTGTTTAAAAATTATAGTAACAAATTAAAATGTATATAGTGAGGAAACAAAGAAGACATTACATTTCGGAAATGCGTGTTACCATTTACTTCAAAATTTACATCTTCTAATTAAAATCAAAAACAATCTTTTCTTCTTCTTTAGCATTTGTCCCACTTTGGCAGGGTCTGCTGTTTTCCCCCCTCTCTTTTCTGGTGGTTTGCTTGATCTATAGACATTCGGTAGGACTCCTTGGACGAGGGATCG